TGAATTACTTTACAACTTCTTTTGAGTCCTAAAACTTTTCAAAAAGAAGATTATAACTTTTTTAAAAACAAATTTTTATTTTTTGTGCTTATATTTATACATCTTTTTATTTTTCTATTTTTTAAATTTCCGTATGTATTTCTAAAATTACCAAGAAAAAATGTCAGGATTAAGTGATGCTATCCTTGCACAGCACTAGCATACAGGGAAGGTAATGCCCCAATTCTGGGCATTGTTCTCTAGGTGTGATCAGGCTGGTATTTCAAATATGCTGGAGGAGGAGGAGGTGCATTACTTTTGCCTGATTCAAGCACATCCTCAAAATGATGTTTTCATAAACAAAGTGCTGGCGGCTATGATCTTATCTTCTCTTTTCCTTTTATCCTAATTCAGGTCAATAACAAGTATTTCTGCTCTCTTCTGCAGATTCCAGGTTTTGGAAGAAAGAGAGCTATTCCAAGCTACAGGGAAGTGTTAGTGAAAAACTCACAAGAAACCAGAGTGCCTTTAAACTTCTTTCTACTTTAGCATTGTCTTTAAAAACATTAAATTAAATTAAAATTTTTTAAAAGTCCAATTTCAGAAAGAGATGTTTCCAATAAATAAGTCTGGTGTTTACACTCCAACAGTGTTACTGGAGTTTTTAAACTTTGTGTTTGAGAGCCCACTGTCAGTTATGTGGATAACAATGTGGGTCATTAAACCAAAACTCTTTGAAGCATAGTAGGCAATTTTTCAACAATCAAGAGACCAGAAAACTGCCAACAAGAAATTCATATGCACATAGATTAAGGTAAACTTTCAGTTTGGCTTAAACATGTAAATTCAAAAAGAACTCCCTCAGCATAAACAGCTGCCCTTTCCAATACTATTCAGTTAATAAGCTTCCTGTAGTCCATAACATAAGAATTACGAAAAAGCCAGTATATATCAAAAACATAAAGTCTAATTCAAAGATGAATGACATTCCCTCATATTCATTCCTTTTTTCTGAAAACTGCAAACCTCTTAAGTAGGTATGTCTAAGAAGTAGACATGCTCAGAAGTCCTCTTCATTTTGTGCTGACCTGCTTAAATGAAATTCAGCTCAAGGTATGGCACGCAACATCATCTTAGCGACCCAGAGGCTCCTGAAGAAAAGCTTTGGCAGGATACAGTATGATAACCAGGTGCAGGGAAAGAATGCCTGTCTGATTACTAGAAAAGCTCATCAGGGAAGACCATCCATCTTTACTTTTTCAGGATAACATCCATAAGCCATAAAAACAGAGTTTCACTTAATAAAAAAACGGAGGAGAAGAAAATGCAAAAATGTTCTTAATATTTGCCTCATTGATTCATGAATCAAAGAAAAAGAAACTGTAATTACCTCTGGTTCTATCTGGACCGAAATATTCCTTCTGCACAACTTTTCCTGTGGCAGGAACAAAGCTTGATTCCAAAGAAAAAAGCCACTTTAAAATATTCCAAAAGAGATGAAGAAGAAGAAGAAGAAGAAGAAGAAGAAGAAGAAGAAGAAGAAGAAGGAAGAAGAAGAAGAAGAAGAAGAAGAAGAAGAAGAAGAAGAAGAAGAAGAAGACGACGGCCTACAATATTCTGCAGCTCTTTAATGTTTGCCATGGGCCAAATCGTACAATTAGAATCAGTCACTTTAAGTGCCAAAGTCATATCATGCTAATAGATCACTTTATAATGTGAGCAGTTTTTAAAAGCCGTATTTAATTTTCCATTATTACTGTACTGAATGCTAGTTGTGTCCATCCAGCCAGCCATATACTCTAATGTCCAGACAGAGAGGGGACAGACGGCTGCTGGCCGGGCATTGCTCAATTCTGGCCTGAATTCTCAGAGACCTGACTTAGAAACTCCAGAGCTGACCATATTTCAGCTCTCTTCCTAAATGCATTTATTTTTATTTTCAAACCAAATGATGAGGGCCCCTTTTGGTTTCATAATTATTTTATTTCAAAAATTACAGATTGAGGCAAAAGCTTCAATGCTGTGCCTCTGTGTGTGCATGCACACATGCAAGAGTGTGAGTGTGCACGCACACGTGTGTGGCTTTCTTTAAGAAAATGAAATGAAGCATAAAATAAGCTCTGAACAGTAACCTAAGGAATAAAGCAAAATCATTTACAACACATGGGATTGTTGCAGGATATGTCAAGATTAGATGGTTTAAGGGCGCTATCCTGAATGTGGAAGCAATTATAATGAAATTCATGACTCATTAGCAAACATTCCATATTGTGTTTCTCATTTCTGGGTCAATGGTACTGGGAAATATAGACTTAAGATTTAGATGTTTCATTGACTTCGGTGCGAGCTTATAGATAGTTGAACCATACGATGACATAAAGCAAAGACTCCATGATTAAGTTCTTCATTTCTTAGATGTAGGCAATTTGGTCCTCCAGCTAGGTATGAACAAAGTAACCTCAAAAGCATATTGGGAAGAATTAGGTTGGTGATAGAAGGGTTGTCTGTAAATGTAAAGTAGGACTTGCATGGTGCAAATACAAACTGGTGGATGTCTGGGGGATTTCGCATGCACACTGCTTGGTATGCAAAATGCCTGGTGAACTCAAGTACCCAATACTGTATGTAATGGGAACCAGATGTCTAACAGAGAGAGAAAAATATTTTATAACAATAAATGTGACATTGACTCTTAAAGGGTTTGCTGCCTTTAAACAGCTTCCCTGTTTTCCTTTCCCTCATATTTTCAAATAGCTTAAAGTAGATCGTGTAAAGAAATTATTCTCATATTTGAAAAGAAAAAGTGTTTAACCTGCCATGGACTTCTCAAATGCACACATAAGGAGGAATGATCTGAAAAAGATAATTTGGGAGTTCATTCGTTTATGAAAGCACTGTGCTCAGCAATGCAAAAATAAAATTAAGGCAAATAAAGCGTAATACCTCCGGCCCCTTACAAACTTAAACTGTACAAGATGCCATAAGATGTGTACAGCTGTTATGGGGACATGGCAAAAGCAAGCCCTGGAAAAGAGACACAAAGTGCCCTGAGAATTCAAAGGGGCAAGAGAAAACTCCTATGGCTGGCCCCTTCCATGAAGAAGGGTCCCCTCTGTATATCTCACATGCACCCCTTTCTCTGCCCTGCATGGACGCAGCTCTGTGTGTCTCTCCCACTCTCTTGCTGCCCACTGCAGTGGACACCCAGCAGCCCTGTTTGTCAGTCAGCCTCTCCTTACCCACTCCCAAAGCAACCCTGCCTTCTCCACTGAAGTAACAGTTCTGAAGCATGGATGCCATCTGGGAAGCAGAGCACCCTAGCAATCAAGTTGCAAGCTCTGTAGTTGGCCCCGGGTCCACTTCCCACTTTGTCACTTACTGGTTTCAACCCTGGGGAAGTCACCTTACCAACCTCCTTCTATTTACATTTTCTCACTGTAAGGTGAGGGTAATAAAAGCACACATCTTCTGGGCTTGGTGTCAGGATTTAATGAGGTTCTGCACACAACGTACTTTGCAAGGTGCCACCATGATGTCAGGGCACTGATCATAGAAATTCTTGTAGCTATTCCTTTATCAATCATCAGATCCAGTATTTTACGGACAACAACAACAACAATGACTAACCAAATTCTTTATTTGGGCATGCCAGGCTGCTCAAGAGCTGATGCTTGCATGACTCTCCAATTCTTTCTCTCAATCCTTTCCCTCAAATGCCCAACTTTTTCCCCATCCTGTCTGCTTCTCATCACCCAAGCAGACCTCCATGCACAAGCCCCCATATCTTTGCACATGCTATTTTGCCCGCCATGGATGGTCCTCCTTCCACCCATCTACCTAGCAAATTCTTGCCTACCCTGCAGCCTTCCACTCTAGCAGACCTCTCTGAGAGCCTGTGAAAGAGTAAATGCCCCCTTAACTAGGCCTAAGGTCATAAGCTCAAGGCTCATCCAGACAGCACAGATAAGCAGTGCAGCAAAAGGCAATACTGTAGGGAGTGGTGGGGACTGCACTAAAAAAAAAAAAAAAAAAAGAACCCGTGCCCTAGCCAACAGGTCAGCCACTCCTCAATGTTTCCAGGGTAAGATGAGGGCTCAGTATTGCCAATGCTCCCATTTTGTTTCAAGGTGAGACAGAAACCTCATTTTTACCTGAAATCTCCAGTTGCTGATTATTGGCAACTAAAAATGTTTCTAAGGGCCGTAACCTTGGACCAACCAAAACCCTCTGGAGACCAGAAGGCAAACTGTGCAGACCATCACTCGGGGATTTCCTTACAGATACACTCCTCTATTCTGGAAAATTTAACTATGACCTATAATTGTTTGCACATCTGCTTGTCCAATGGGCAATGCTCCTTGAGGATGAGGAGCATGTTGGGTTTTCTTCCAGTGGCCAGTACAGTGGGTAGTTAGTTCAAAGAAGCATCTCACTGAGTTTTGTATTGATATTTCCTGATCCTGGAAGCCAAGGTAGGGTCTGTGGGCGAGAGATCATTCCCAGCGGGTCAAAGGACCAAGGTGTTCCTGTTTCAGATATCCCTATTTCTAGAGGGGAAAGATTTTCTAGATATCGTTCAGCCTGGATCAATAGCTGACAGACATCCTTAGAACGGTCTCGAACTCTTCCTCAAAGCCAAAGCCCTCTCCATGGTGAGCAACACAAAAGTTAGCTCTGACAACATAAATCTATCCTATCAACCTAGGCTATAGAAATTTCCACTTAGTATGTGAGTGAATAACTAAATGAATGGGTGAGATCTACCTGAAAAAGCCCTAATTTAAATGTAGATGTAAAAAATTTCAAGAAAATTTCAGATGTGACTCTGAATTTTGTTGGAAGGTGGGCATACAGCAAATCCTGGATGTGGAAAGAGACATGTCTTTGAGATTGTAGACAAGAAAAATATGGGAAAGGCTGGGTTGTGGACAACTGGGAAGATTTAGTGAAAGCAGTGACAGTTTTGTACTCTTTAAATGTCCACAATCTGTGACCCGATGATGCAACTTCTAGGCACTTACCTCAAGAAAATCACGTGTAAATATTTGAGGATGTTCATCACAGCTTTGTTTATGATGCTGGAAAAGTATGGGGGCTGTTTCATGAGTAATTATAGAAGATTTAGGACTGGATCCCTGGGTGGCGCAGCGGTTTGGCGCCTGCCTTTGGCCCAGGGCACGATCCTGGAGACCCAGGATCGAATCCCACATCGGGCTCCCGGTGCATGGAGCCTGCTTCTCCCTCTGCCTGTGTCTCTGCCTCTCCCTCTCTCTCTGTGACTATCATAAATAAAAAAAAAGAAGAAGATTTAGGATTATGATAATTAATAATTATAGGCAAAATCTATCGAACCCTTACTTTTGTGGCAGACTATGTCTCAGGAATGTTTGATTCATTACATCACTTGACCATATTGTTATATCCATTTTACAGAAGGGGATTCTGAGACAGAATATTTAAATAATTTGCCCAAGTCACATAGCAAACTAAGTGTCAAGGCAGGCATTTGGACTCAGTAGTATCTAATGCCAGAGTTTAAGCAGTTTGTTGCATTTTCCTCATAAATATTCACTGTACAGCTGTCACTGTACAGGTACCAAAATCATAACCTTGAAGAATGTATAACGACACAGAAAAAAACTTATGAATCGTTATTAAATGAAAAAAGCAGGTTGCAAAAAAATGTCACCTTGCTCAGATACTCTTAGAGGGAAATATCCCACAGACAGCTCCACCACTAAAAAAGGGTTTCACATCTCAATAAATGGCTAGAATCTATTGAGAACTTATTGAACAAATGGCTAGAGAACAAAATTCATCACAGGAACTAGTGCCAGCATCCAAGGAATGTCTCTAGATTGCTGGGTATTGTCTACTTGACTCATGCAAACCACCTTCTCCAATAAAGTTTTAGGCTTCAAAGTGAAAATTTGAATCCCACCTTGATGTGATATTATGGCTCCAGACCCCAATATCATCTGACTTAACACTAAGGAAAGAATAGGTACTGGCCCAGCCAGGGCCATACTGGTCCAATTAGCAGGGGCCAGAGACTCTATTTTGTAACAATTGATTCTATAAAATAGGAAATAACTTGGAGGAAAGCATTGCCCATATAAGAAGTAATTCTGTTTTTATTTCTAAATAAAAATTATAAATATGGAGGGAAAAGAGTTACTCACACCAAGGTCTTAACAATGTTTATACCCACAACAATAATTTTCTTGTTTCAGCTTTTTTGTGTGTTCTAAATTCTCTACAGTGGATATATATCACCTTTATACTAAGAGGAGAAAAGGACTCTAATCTACATGGGAATTAAAAAGTGAATGTCTGGGGTGCCTAAGTGGCATACTCAGTTGAGCATCCAACTCTCAGTTTTCAATCAGGTTATGATCTTAGGGTTCTGGAATTGAATTCTGCATCAGGCTCCTCATACTCAGATTCTCCCTCTCTCTCCTTCTGCTCCTCTGGCTTATTCTCTCTCTCTCTCTCTCTCTCTCTCTCTCTCTCTCTCTCTCAGATAAATAAATAATTTTTAAATAAATAATTTTTAAGTGAATGTCTACAGTTAGTAATATTTGGAGACCACAGACTGACATGCAGAGAAAAAGTATCTTTAGTGTTGATAGGATATAGGAAACTCTTACCAGAGAAAGGTCAGCAGCTGAGCAGCAAACCCCGCCTAAACATTCATGGCTGTGGATAAGACCTCACTGTGAAGATGTCAAAGCAGTATCTGATGGAGATGCTGGGTGTTGGGCACACCAGGGCCCGTTGCCCTCTGACACTGTGCTGGACAAGTGACAGCTAGGATAAGATAAGGCAGAGCAGAGAAGAAAGGCATGAGCTTCATGAAATATAAGACATGGTTTTAGAAGGCAAGAGACCGTGGCCACAAGGAGGGAACCCAAAATTAAGATACATATTTCAAGCAGTCAAGTGAGAAGTGGAACAAGGAAAGGGAGGTAGAGGCCACTGGTCTGATAAATGGTAGTAGTGAAGCAAAAAGTAAGGAAGAGGAATGGGGGGGGGCGGTAAGTCTTTTTTTATGCACAGAAAGCATAGAGTGATGACCAAGGAGAAAAAGGGATGGAGAGAGTTTTAGGACCACAGAACAATAATGTAGTTGAAAGGAAGGATGGTTGGTGGTATAAAGGTGAGGCAGGGGAAGAGAAAATAGGTAACAAGATATGAAGTTATTAAGAACAAATATTAAGGCTTGAATAAAGCTGGCCAGAACACCCACTGTAAGCCACTGCCATCTGATTTGTCTCTAAAACTCTCCAAAAAGAGAAGAGGCCACAGGCCTTCCTACCTACCCTCCACCTATGGCCTCTACACAAGCAAGAGTTCATCCTGTACCCCCACTTGGTACATACTCCACTATTACCTCCCATTCTGGAGAATGGATATTCATTCCCTTGCACTGGTTACTTACTTGGCTTTCATAGCTCCCACTAGAAGCTCCTGGAAGACCGAAGGTTAAGAACAGGTGTCATCATGATTGGACATTTTAGCAGTTTTATGACATATTCACAAGTTCTTGAACATTCCTCAAATCCATAAAAGGGTCTATGTGCCTTCTCCTTGAATATGAGCTGGCCTTGCTGACTGGTGCACCCATAGAGTATGTGCCTGGGCCAGGCTCGAAAGATGGTTCAGCTTCCACCTTGTTCTCTTGGGATACTCATCTTTGGAGCCCCGAAAGGCCAGGAAAGGAGCAGGAAGACGAGCTGCTGTGAATAGTAAGCAGGCATTCCGGCTGACATCAGTCCCTACGTGTCAGTGGGGGAGCCACAGAGGTGACCCCAGCCTGGGCCACCTACAGACCTCATCCTCATGAAAGGCTGCATGAGACCCACCATGCTGAACCCACCCAACACTCAGCACCACAAGAGACAAGAAAATTATTGTCGTGATTTTAAGTAAATAAATTGTAGGGGGCATCTGTCATACAGAAATAGAGACCTGGGACAGACATCATTGGTTCTCAAAATATCTGTTACATTTTAATTTAACAGCAGGGGTGGCTGGGTGGTTCAGATGGTTAAACGTCCAACTCCTGGTTTCAGCTCAGATCATGATATCAAGGTCTTGAGATCGAGCCCCACATTGGGCTCCACACTGGGTGTAGAGCCTGCATGAGATTCTTTCTCTCTCTCTCTACCCCTCCCCCACTGCCTGCCTCTCCCCTCCACCCCTGAATACTATCTCTCCCTCCCTCTCAAAATAATAATAATAATAATAATAATAATAATAATAATTTAACAACAGGTAAGGAAGGCAGCATTATCTCTTGATCTTTTTCTCTTTCTTTATCTTACCCTCCAGCCACTATCTTTTCTGTGCTTCAGTCAGGTGTTTCTTATATCCTGGTCCCCTCCCCCACCTTGTTTTCTCTCTCTCTCTCTCTCTCTCTCTCGCTCTCGCTCTCACTCTTGCTCTCCTTCTCTTTCCAACTATAGAATTCTCCTCTTTCTTTAATGTCCAGGGGACTTGTAGAAGAGAGAGCCACATTCTCCCTAGACCTATAAAAGACTTCTGTTTTCTCTTCTTGGCACAAATAAGCTAAATCCTTTTAAAAAAAAATTCCCCACTTTAGTTCTTTACTATTCCTCCTTCCTGAATGATCTCTGGGTCTCGTGTGTACTTCTTAGGTTGTAAAAACTACAAACAAGATACTTTCCCCAGTGGTGATATTAGCTAGACTCTCGGCCCCTTCTGGCAAGCACTGTTGTTTGGGCCACCGTCGGATCTTCGTGTCGCTGTCCCACCCATTAGCTGCAGGAGTCCTGACTTGCTTCCCCAGCCAGGACAGGGGGCTGTAGGCTGCAGCTGCATCAGGAGCGTGAGTAGGAAGAGAACAGGTCAGGATCACTGACCCCCCAACCCGGGGCAGCTTCAGATGAGTCCTCCCAGGAGGGGTGCCCACACACTGTGGCCTGGAGACCACATGATCACCTTGCCCAGATAGGGAGTGACCCACAGAATGGTCACTGAGCAGCTGATAAAGTGTGGAAGCTGGGGGACAGGCATAAACGAGACTGGGAGGCCTCTGTAGAAGAGACTCCCTTCCATCTGGGTTGCACCACCACCTCATAATGTCACCTGTGACAAGCCCAGGTGGGCACACGTGGACAGATGCGTGCCCTTGCACTAACGCACACAGCCCTGGAGGAGCACAGAAGGGCTCCGGGGAGAAAGGAAGAAGCATCCCCCAACAATGTCAGGCACGTGGCTGCGAGGACCGCGGGCAGGGTTGGCCCAGCGCGCCAGCGGCCGGCAGAGTAACATCATCTCAGGTCAAGGAGAAAGGCCCACAGCCCAAAATAGCTGCCCTGCCCAGTTGCCACAGCATCTAAAATTATACCATTGAACATTTATTCCTCCGCACACCTCACTTCCACCGGGGGCCAGCCAGGCGCGGGGGTAGAGCCCACGAAATGTCTGCACGTGAAGGTGCAAAAGGCCTGAGCCTTCCACGGAGTTCTGTGGGGGTGGGAACCCAGGGAGGCGTTGAAAGGGGAGGAAGGAGGCAGAGGACGTGTGGGTGAGGGAAACCAAAAGGAAACTTCTCCAATTTCAGGGTTTTACCCAGAAGGAGCCGAGCTGGCAGCTACCTCGTAAAACCGAGGCCTGAGCAATTTGCCAGTAAATTTGAACCATCCATGTAAACAATGCTAATAATTTATTCCTTGAAATGCCTTTCTAATACATTATTATGCAGAGCTGCACATGCTTCTACTTCAAATTGCCTAAATGTAAAAAAAAAAAAAAAGTAAATTAAGGGGCAATTAGAAAAAATAACAAGAGGAAGCATGAGGAAATGCTATATGCCTATCATGCTAGAACACAGAGGGAAGCTCCAAGCAGGTAATCAGATCATTTCAACCAAAGCCTCCACTTTCTGGGGGAAGGATCCCTTCAGAAATTCAGGCACAGCCTCTGTCTTTGTGCATTGAAGCTTGGTTAACTGGGGGGTCTGGGTGGCTCAGCGGTTGAATGTCTGCCTTCAGCTCAGGACATGATCCTGGGGTCCTGGGATCGAGACCTGTATTAGGCTTCCCGCAGGGAGCCTGCTTCTCCCTCTGTCTGTGTCCCTGCCTCTCTCTGTGTGTCTCTCATGAACAAATAAACAAAATCTTTAAAAAAAAATTTTTAAAGAAATTTGGTTTACCTGATTCTGGAAGACCAAGCAGTATGCAAAATGAAAGCAAACAATCGCTATTGGAAATACACCTCTGGTCCTCTGTTTCAACAAACAGCAGCTCCACCTGATTCCATTTTATTTTTTTATTCTTGTCTTTTCAATTTTTTTTAAAAGTAAGTGCCATGCCTAGCATGGAGCCCAGTGTGAGACTTGAACTCACAACCCTGAGATCAAGACCTAAGCTGAAATCAAGTAGTAGGATGCTTAACTGACTGAGCCACCCAGGCACCCCCACCTGATTTCATTTTTTAAAGCCCTTAAAAAATAGGCAATATTTCACAAAGGTAAACTCCCTTCTGCCACCTCTCTCACGTAAGCCAGTTCTGGATCAGAAAGCTAAGTACCACGGATGCCACTGATAAACTTTAGGCAGAGGCAAGGATAAAAATTGGGAACAGAGAAAACCAGGAGGGAAAAGGCCAGAGGAAAGAAAAGGTGTGCAGAGCTGAGAACACCCGGTTCCCTCCAGAATGACTGATCATTGGGTGGTTTGTAAAGTACTAGCTGCTATATAATTTTATCTCCAATGCTCCAAAACCCATGAAGAAAGGAAATTTTGTTAAAATTTTATTTATTTATTTGACAGAGACAGAGAGAGCATGTGCACAAGGAGGGAGAGCAGCAGAGGGAGGAGACTCCCCACTGAGCAGGGAGCCCCACACGGGGTTCGATCCCAGGACCCCAGGATCATGACCTGAGCTGAAGGCGGACACTTAAACAACTGAGCCACCCAGGGACCCCAAGGAAACCCATTTTTCTAAATGAGATCACTTTGGAAAAGACACCCCCCAAGGTCACATAAGGGGAGTAGCTGGGTACCTGAGAAGGGCTTGATAGCAAGTCTAACTAACTAAATCCCCTGTTTTTTCTACCCCAACAGTCTTTGAAGTTACAGAGCATAGGGATTTAAGAAATGTTACTCCTAGGTCTATGAGTAACTTACTGAATGATTTCTGAAACTATGATTTCCCTCCTCAACTTGATTCATTCATTCACTCAACAAATAAGGATGGAATCTCACCTCACGGTAAGCAGTGTCTAGGAACGTGGGTTCACCTTCATGGAGATGTCATATATATGATTCCTTGATGGCCAACTCAACCGTCCCCTTTTCAGAAAGCTACTCCCTGACCATGCAATCTGAAGTGGCTCCTGCCCATCCTCTGCCAGTCACTCTTGTCAAATTTTCCCGTAGGACTTAAGTCCACCCAAAACCATGTAGTTCATCCTTATTCACTTTATTGGTGCTTATCTTCTCTAGAAAATTAGAGCTTTCAGAAGAAGGACTCTGTCTTACTCAAAGCTGTCTCTCCAATACTTACAATTCCCGCACACAGTAGGTGCTCAATAAACATGTGTCCAATAAATGGTATCAAATATCAAGGAGACCTTTCTTCTAGTGCCTACTCTGTGTCTGAAGTAGTATGAGACCATTTGCCTCAATCATCTCATTGAATCAAGATCAGATATGCCAAAATAGGAAACAATATGAAGAAGATGGAGCTTTAATAATGGTGGAATGCTTCGAAAAATTAAAGCTGAATTTCCAATGCCTGTACCCTGTAGCCCTTAATGCAAGAACAAGGGACATCTTGTGACGTTAAAAGGTAACAAATTTAAAATGAATAAAAGGAAATACTTTTTAAAATGGCGTATAATCTACCTGTGGAATTCACTGCCGCAGGATATTATTGAGGCAAATAGTCTAGCAAGATTCAAGAAAGGATTAGACATTTATATGAATAGGAATAATATTGGCAGTTACACTAACCAGGTTAAAAAGTTACAAGGCATGTCCGTTCTGGGCTCCAGGGCATAACTGTTCACCAGCTGGGGTGAGGAAGGAATTTCCCCTTGTGATGGAGCATTGAATAATTGGCCAGAGGTACACCGGCTCCTATTTTTGCCGTCTTCTGTAACAGAAGGCAGAGACCACTGCCCAGGGGGAGTTCCTGGAGAAGACAGACCAGTGACCTCTTAGCCTGATATTTCTTTCCTTTTAAAAAAAAATTATTTATTTATTCATGAGAGACATATTGAGAGAGAGGCAGAGACACAGGCAGAGGGAGAAGCAGGCTCCTGCAGGAAGCCCGATGTGGGCCTCAATCCCAGGACCCCAGGATCATACCCTGAGCCAAAGGCAGACGCTCAACCACTGAGCCACCCAGGTGTCCTGTACCCTGGTATTTCAGACTCCTTGCACAATCCCAAACAAGAGGTAGAAAGGGTGCATATAGTGTCTTTTGGGATTCATACTGAAAATGTTTCCATTTCAGAACACAGAAATGATGAAAAATAATTTTCTTCATCCTGACAATGAAAATATCCCATGGAAGGGAATCGGGCCTGGATGTAATTTTATTACACACAGGCTACAGCGCCTGGAGGGCGTGTGAGCATTTCCAAACCTCAGCACATCGGAGTCCTGGGAGAATCTTATACAAAGGCATCATCCATCCATTTTTCACATCTGTCTAACACTGCGCCTTACACACATGCACTTAGCACATATGTGTTTAATGTAAGTACATTTCTGCAGGTGTGGTAAGGAAAGCTACTCCTAATGCTGTCCACTCAAATTCCTAAGCTTTTCTCAATTGCATTGCCAGGCACAACCCCTGATTCTTGGTGATGTGTGTCATGCATTTTTTTCATCCTAACATGGAAAATCCAAAAGGCAGTTGTTAGCCACGCATCCAAATACAAATGTTCACAATAACATGCTGTCACATTAAAGAAAACAGTGAAACTAAATTATTCATTATACTCACTTACTTTACAAACCCTATGCAGGTGTAGACAATGCTCTGAAGAAATGGCATTGGTGTCTGAACCACTAACGAAAGAACATTCGCCAATCGTGGGACAAAGAACACTCTGCAAGCCAAAACACAAAGGGAAATTGTCATTAGAATCCTCAAACAAGCAATGAGCCTAAAATAGATTTCAAAAGTAAACAGACATAGAACAAAATGTGGAATAAACATAAATACGTGTTTTTACTGGAGACAGACACCATAGATGCCATTAATATTTTCAAATACATTCTCACACAAAACAAGGTAAGAACCACAGGTCTAGGCCCTAATCCTCAAGAGAATTCTCAAGTCACTCTGGGCAGTCCTTTCCACCTAAATGCAAGATTTGCTCCCCTGCAAGATTTACTTCTTTAAGTTGGCAGAGATTAATTGGACTCTCTTAGTATAAGATCATACTTACAGTATCTAATTCCCATCCAGAGAAAAGACCTTAAACATTCTTTTTTAAGACCTTAAACATTTTATTGTTGCTTCAGACACCTACCTGTCATTTTATTGGCTGGTTGCAGATAAGCTTTTTCAACTTGGGCTATTTCTCTTGGTCTAAGCTTTGCTATTTATTTTTCCATGTGATTACAAGAAGAATAGAGCTTGTCAGATTTGTGTTTGTTGGTGCTGGGTTGTTTCTGGTTTGGAGTTTTGGGGTAACTTTGTTGCAGGGTGGGTGTTGGTGGCTAATATTTGTTTTTTACTTAAAATTATCCACATATCATGAGGAATGATAAGTTAAGAGTGTGAGTTCTACAGTCAACCAGGATGGGGTTCAAATCTCACACTAACAGTTTGACCTCAGATAATCCAATTAATCTTCCCCTTTCCTCATCTGTAAAATAGAGGAAAAAAATTAAATCTAGCTTATTCTAGCAAGCACACCAAAGGAGGCAATGCCTACAAAGGATCTGACACATTGCCTGCCATATATTCAGTAGACAATAAATGTTATCTATTATTATGACTGAGCATATTTTACCTACATATTTGTAATCGTTAGAGTACATATCCTATTCCAGTGTTATGACATCATTTACATATCAAGAAAATATTTTATAGTTCCATTTACCCTATTGTTAGGTTTATATTAAGGTTCTAAGAACTGTAACAATAGTTTAAAGAACATCTTTGAGGGGCACCTGGCTGGCTCAGTTGATGGAGCATGTGTCTCTCGATCTCGGGGGTTGTGAGTTCAAGCCCCATGTTGGGTCTAGAGGTTACTTAAATAAATAAAACATTTAAAATGTATTTATTTGTTTGAATAAATAAATAAATAACATCTTTGAGCACTCTTTTTGGTACTGAGAATGAATTCCCAGGAGTAAAATTATTTGGTCAAGGGCTGCAAAAATTTTTGTGGTCTTGACACATGCTGCCAAATGAGTTTCCCAAGTGTTTTGACCACATACCCCACCACAGCCATATACGACTCACTACACTACTTGGTGAACAATGGGAATTACCACTTACTAGAAATAAAAAGGAAAATAATTAAAAATCACAGAAAGACCTCGTATAATAAGCTCTTGTCTTTCCAGATCTAGAAAAAAAAATGCTGTGAATGGTGCAAGTTTTCATGCCCTCCACATCTGACAGTTTCCTCCCAAGCCTTTTCTGGAAATATTGTACTCCACCTCTCAGAAATGTCTCATCCTCCAGTCACTCACCTCGTAGTCTTCCAGCTCAGTGAAGTCAGAGGGAAAGGAGCGATTTCCTGTTTGCTGCCAGAAGTCCAGTGGTCCTGTGAAGGCCTGCGATTCAACTGCCTGCCGCTAGCATGAAGACAGTATCCTCAGAAGCAATCTCAAAGGAAATAGGACCTGGTGAGGCTCATATATAAATATTTTCTTGCAAGGTGGAGAAATGTAGAATGACACAGCCCACATCTGACCACAAAACATGGAAGGTGTAACCCAATGAGACATATCACCTGACCTCTGAAGGGCATAATCTGAGAAGGAACAGTTGGTTTGTACAGCTTTGCAAGAGACCTAAGTAATATGTGGTTTTGTGGAAAGAAAAGACAAACCAAAGGAGAGAGAAAGGAGAAAGAAGAAGAAAGAAAGAAAGAAAGAAAGAAAGAAAGAAAGAAAGAAAGAAAGAAAGAGAAAAGAAGGAGGGAGAAAGGAAGGAAGAGGGAGAGAGAACACTCTGGTCTTTGGGAATGAATTTACCACACGTGAAAGGTGAGGGACTGACAATGTTGAAATGAAAATCTTTCAACCCAGGGTAATCACAAAGAGGTTTTTCCCCTGTCTCCTTCCATACCAATGTCCTCATGATCCTCTCTTTCTCTAGAAACAAGTCCTGAGGAGCCCCCAGAAAGTCATCTGAATTCTGTGCAGGCCTTTTTCTAATAAGAGAACATCTGACCCTCCCACTCCACCCCCCATCCACCTAAAACTCTCCAAGGAGAAATCTCTCCCAAGTTGCTATCACTGCTAAGGTTGGTTCAACTGCTTCTCCCAGCTCAGTGACAATGTAATGTTCACATAAAAGGTGCAAATCATAGTTGGACTCTTCTGACATTTGTGGATGGCGTGGCATTATTTGCTAAATTCCAGAAAGTGGTGCCAGTTAAACAGGCTGAGAGGATTAGTTACTGCAATGATGGGGATCATTGGCATGGCCTTTGTCGTGGCTGTCTGCACACCTGGGTGTGACATGCCTCTACAGGCAGGCAACAGACTTGGAGGAATAAGAAAAGACTCAGCCTCCCTACGACCTGTGTGACCCCATGCAAGCAATCAACCTCTCTGGGTCTTGGCTGCCTCTCTGTTAACTGGAAATAGCAACACCTGCCTTGCACGGTTACTGCGAGGGAAGCCCCAGTGCCTGACACTCAGAGGTTGTAATATCCACGCATACACATACACATATGCAAATACATGTGCATGCACTTGAGTTTTTGAAAATCAATTACTCCTCTCCATCTTATAGCTCACAAGGTGATTTTTGAAAAGTCAATCAAGAAAGGAAGGAAAGAAAAAGATTTTCCTCTCCAACAAGAAAAAGCAATTAAACATCAAATATTAACTGTTCCTGGGAGTAAATTTTTTTAATGGGTTAAAGGTTCAGCCATTACAGGCCTCCGGTATGTAATTTCTAAGAAAGGACTAGGTAATTTTTTTCAAAATTAAGTGGAAGATAAAATGCTGGAACCAGTGTATCTGCTCAGAAACCACTTTTTTATCCATTTTCCGGAGCTTCCCAATTGCATCATGCCTTTTAAGGGACCCAATCTGTTTAAACAGCACTTTATTTTAAACCTTCACTTGTGAAAAGCGCTGATTTATGATAGGGCTGATTAAAGCAATGGTATCTTAAGCAATAATGATTTCAATTATAGGACTTTCACCTATGTGCATTATTCTGATTTGCTCTCCACTTCTTCAGATGTTTATTCACTGTGGGAGGGAGTACAGGTAGGTGGTGTAATTTTGAAAAGTCCCTGGAATAATATCAGAAAGGAATGTATAGACAGGTAGACTGATGTGTCTTTTTTGATGATGTGAATGTATGGTATTTTAATATGCTCTAACAAACTCGAACAACTCCCCAGTGGGCTCTATGTGATATCATTGGGGTTATTTTTCTCCCCTGCTCCATTCCCAGTGGGGCATATGGAAGTCATAGGAACGTGCATACTTAGACTCCCCCTAAGCATATAGTACAGAAGAGTCTCCAGTTTCAGGCTGGAGAAAACCATTAAGCTCAGTGCTAGATCTTTAACTCATTCACCTCTAACATCAATATAAGACATACCAATGTAACACGTCCTTATCTGAGTGCCTATCCCATGGATCAGGCTGATGAGTAAGACAGTGAAGTCAGCCTAGAGTCATATGCTAGGGAATGGTGGGCAACTGGAAGGAGCCCTGTCTAATGGGAGCAGCTAATTGTCACCAAGTATAGCTGTGGACCAAATGGTGCCACACTCGCAGAATTTTCAAAAGAAGCCAGAAATCCATACTGGTTTGTGAAGTTCAAGTTTCTTGATCTTGAAAGGTTAGACAAACTCTGGCCAAATTCAGCCTGGAAGCCACCTTTGCTATGCTACCTAGCTGGTACACAAGTGGTCAGGCTAAGTTAGTTTGTCCCTTGGCTCTGCTTTGAAGCTCCACTTTAATTTGAGAACTAGTCTCACAAACACTAAAATTCATGTTTTCAGGATACATTCCCATTAATATCCTCAACAGCAATTGGAAGGGAAAATTCTATTCATGTCTTGACAGTTTTTCTCCCTCCATCAAATCAACTTTATAGATTTCTTAGTTCAGTGCTATTAATTGGACTCTTGCATGATTTAAATCTAGCTCTTAATCTCAGCTATACTACAGTGCCGTAGTCTTTATGAGAGCTAACCAGCAAATGCTTTATGCACTAATCCCTCTGCAAAAAATCATCTTAATACATTTTTAAACTTTTTTTTCTTTTGGAAGTTAGAAGTCCCAAGACTCAAATGAAATTGTTTGGGTCCAGCCATTAGAATTTTCAACTTCACACTTGAAAAATAATGGAACTAATTGCTTTACAGAAGAAAATCAGATCAAAGTCAAGATTCTTTCTTTTTAAATTTTGTAATTATGTATCAGACTTCTCCTTGAAATCCTTAAACATACTTTCATTGAAATGTATATGGGCTTCTTCCCTCTTCCTTTCAAATATGCTTTGTCGTGATTTTGCTGTGTTGCCTTCCATTGCCCTCTTTGATGGCACTGCCTGAAAGGAAAGTTCTCAAACATCACCACCACTGGCAGGGTACAGAGACAGATGAAACAGGTGGTGCCCTGTGCTAACTAGGCATCGCACTGTTTTAAACACAGCATCTGATATGTTCTGTAGCTCAGAAACAGGCAATTACAGGAGACCTCACTTCCTTCTATGCATAGAATTTCTAGCCAACCTTCAGCCCACAGATCTCCTGTCTGTCTTCTCCTTCCCAGCCTCTCCCCATAGCAAGCCCACAGCCTGCTTCCCAGCAAGCATTAAATCACAGCTAACAGGCTCCAACTGCTCTGGGCACCAGACGTTGGGGGAACATCTGAACCTATTCATTTGCTTTGCACAGCAGTCAATTCTTGCAAGGTTACAGACTTCCTTAGCTAGAAGCTACCTTGGTGATTCTTCTCCATCCCCTTTATTTGGCAAATGAAGGGGGAAAGACCCAGGGAGAGAAAGTGACTTGCCCAGGCTCACACGGCAGGGCTCTGACTTTCTCTCTGGTGCTTTTCCCATGTCCATGTGCAGCCTTTGTGCTGGACAAGTGACAGTTCTCAAAACTAGAATTTTACTTAGGCGTAGCCATAAAAACAAATTTATTATAAAAGCATTGATGGGCTCCTATTTTGTGCGAAGTGCCCTGTTCATCTCCCAAGACTCAACAATGACTGGAAAGCATTCTAATCCTGAGTCAGTCGCCTGCTAATGATTCCTTCTGACTGAGCACACACCCAGAACAACCACTAACTGAATATTGCATAGAGGGTGAAAGCTGGGAGGAACTTTACAACTTTCATCCCAACTTCTCATTTTACAGAGAAAAGGCCTTAGAGCCAGTTCCCATCGGACCATCAGACGTGGGTCTGCAGCTAGTCCATGTCCCAGGTGGGTCTAGAGCCAGTTGGCGCCAGAGGCAGGTCCAGAACCCATGATGCCAATCACTGAGTCATGTCCTATTGGCTTTAGTACTGTTGGCCTAATTCAGAATGCAACCTAACATGGGGGCTCAATGTATCACATGTATAATAAATATCTTTTTTGTTACCATTCAAGTATGTTAGTTTGTTCCTATGCTAAGCTTTGAAGTTCCCCCTTTCACTTGAGGACTACTCTCTGAGTACGAAAGTGAAAGTCCATGTAGGAAACGTTCCTATTAAAATCCCCACCAGCAGGGTACCTGGGTAGCTCAACTGGTTAGTGTCCGACTCTTGATCTCAGCTCAGGTCTTACTCTCACAATTGTGAGCTCAAGCCCTGCACTGGGCTCTGTGCTAGATGTGGAGCCTATTAAAAAAAAAAAAAAAAGATCCCCACCAGCAATTAGACAGTGGTCCCTGGGAGGTGGAGTTCAGCTACTGAAACAATAGAACTGCAGTGACTGGCACCGTACGCATGGGAACAGCAGACACCCATACCTCTAATATGTTCAAGATAAATCCAAAGAATTGATGTGATAAGCCAAGTCAATAGAAACACTAGGGGTAGTGTTTGTACTTTCACCATACTAATGGAATTTTTAGGATTACCATAGATATATTTAAAACAGTAGCTGCAGTTTATATATATATTTTCAATAATCTTATAAATCAACAGTGTTCAATAATCTTAGCTGAAACTATAAATGCTAAGTGGACCCATTAAAGAAGAAATAAGATAGATTTTTTTTTTTTTAAATGTGGTCTTCCAGGAAGCTGCCTCTGGACACAACTACAGAAAATTAACACAATAAGTAAAGCATTATAGAAGAGCTATTAACTGATTACACTAATAAAAACCAAATGGGGGCCTTAATTCTGCCCCTCTGGGAGAGAAGGACGGATAAAATAAACAACAGAAAAAGAACACGAAGTAAAGGATAATTGACTTTAAACAATAATAATACAGAAACCTCCCACCAAGCGAAAAAAAAAAAAAAAAAGATTTAATCCAGATCGTTAGCTTCACTTTGGGAAAGATAGAAAAAAAATTCTGATTCTGCCTTGTTAAAACCTAAGTTTGATGCTAATAAGGGTATTTTCCAGGCAAACAAATTGGAAACATTAAGGTGGACTGATAAGGAAATTCTTAAGTGCCAGACACATGGACACAATGACTATTCTGCTATATCATCAAAATGAGGAGCCCTTCTGGTCCCACTCAGAGGCAGAGGGAATCTAAACATTCAGAGCTCATGCTCCATCCGGCTGGGATAGAAAGCAGGGTCCAGTGATGCTCGGCATTCACAGAAAGGGTCGAACCAGACAGAGAAGAGGAGGACTGCCTTGGGGAGAGGCCATAGGCCTTTTGAACCCACCCCACGTATGGCACTACCTGTTAACTAAATCCTGATTTATTTTTTTATTTTTTTATTCATGAGAGACACAGAGAGAGAGGCAGAAACATACTCAAAGGGAGAAACAGGCTCCCTGTGTGGAGCCTGATGCAGGACTCAATCCCAGGACCCCAGGATCATGACCCAAGCTGAAGGCAGATGCTCAACCACTGAGCCCCACCCCGCCCCCCCACCCCGGGTGCTCTGAAATCCTGAAATTCTTGAACATGCTTGGGGTTAATTCTGTGTAGCAGAGAAAGGTCTTGTTTTTCCATTTTATTATCTATA